GCCTGATATTTTTACTTTTTTTTTTTTTTTTAACATAAATGAGTGTAAACACATGTGGTTGTTACATCTTAAGGCTGAGCATTAGGTAATGTCTATCCCAGAGAATAATTAGCAAATGCTTAGTATCATGTTCACTTATACATATAATGAATAATTAAGTGGTAGTTCAAAAATACTTTGATTTGGTCACCAGTGCCTTAAGGACTAGTGTTGATTGAGCTTGGTCTCTGCTGTGTACAAATTTCAAATGTTATTGAAATTTGAATGGATTTTCATTTGCTTGTGAACATGAATAGCCTAATCAAAGCAGAGCATAATACTTTAAAGCAATGCTTAGTTAACCTTAACAAAAGTATAGGTATCAGATACCAATTCACTAGTACTTTATTATTCTGTGAACATTGTGTTCCTCTTTTAATTGACATGCTTCTGTGGCTCTGTCCTCTCAGTCAAGTCTCAGAACTGGATAATATTCACTTATGATGTGCCAGTCAGTTTATTACGGCTATGCTAATAGCTTCTGTTTCAATTAGAGAATCTTAGTACTTCAAGTTTCATTTAACTTGGAAAAGTTAATATTTGACTTAATATTTGAGTTAATATTTTAATAACTCCTAACGAGACCTTTTAAGTCACTAAACTATGAGCCACTTATTTGCTAATGTTCCATGAACATTAGCCCATTTGAGTGTCAGGTATCATGTGAAAATAACCAGAGACCCCCACCTAAGTGTGATGGTCTCTCTGAGCAAGGTTCTCCTTCGTCTGTGCTAATAAGGAATTGAAAGTATTTGAGGAAGGACGAAAGTTAGGCCCTTAACTAAAGCATGCAGTTTGCAAATGATTACTTCAATGAAAAAGGTCTCAACGTAGATTTACTATTATCTCAGTGGATACAGATATGAATAAAAGTTCTTTCTCTCAAGAAGCTTCCCAGAATAATGTAATGTACTAGCAGCAGGCTTCCTATAATGTTAGGTGCTGAAGTGAATATTAGGCCAGGAAATGAAAGGGATAGGAAATAATAATCCCTCAACATTCCCATCTGAACGTCACTGTTACTCAGCTGTTTCTATTCCATTCCAGGATCTGCACGTACCGATAATTCTTATATTAGTGTCATCTTGGTATAGTTGGAGGAGTATGATGAAGAAAACATGTATCTGTACCTGTGTGTAGAAATAGGTGGATGTATTCTCAGTATGGACAGAAATATGTTTTGCAGGTTAAACCATTCTGCAAAATATTTTTATCAAATACCTTATTCTGACATTGCTTACATCTAGATTTAAATCCATACTTTGCTAGGGAAACACATTATTTTATACTCGTCTACATAGGTGCCAGACATTCAAATGCTGTTTTGCCAGCTTACGAGAAATAAGGACCCAAACACATTGAAAATTTATGTCTAGAAAGAGTGACAACAATAAGTCATGCTACAATGTGTAGAAAAGTAGAAAGCATCTTACCAAGCCTTAAAGTGTTTGGCTGAGAGCTACATACTGGGTGACAGGAGCAAAAGGTTAATCTATTTCTCCTGAGAAGGTTCCTCAGGTGTACAGTATGGTTAATGCCATGAGACATTCAGAAAAATTATAGTTATTGTAGGAATATCATTGATAGATTATGGCTCTCAGGGATCCTGGGGAATAAAACCTGAACTTATTTCACGTTCTTCCCTTTATGTTGTGCTGGCTTTTGTTGGAAGTCTTTGAGCAGTTAGTAAGTGAGCAAAAGATGAGCTCAACAAACAGGAGAAGGAGAAATAAGGAGCTTGCAGAATTAAATAGCCTGCCGAGATACTCATCCGTTTAGCAGCTTCAGTTGCTTAGCCCTGGGCCTGATCCTGTGGCGATGCAGAAGCAGCGTAAGAGCCAGTCCCTACTCTCCAGAATCAACGATTCATTGAGATAGGACACAGGAGCACATGCAGTAATTAAACAGCAGGGCCGGGGAGCGCCATGATGTAAGTGCCTAACACATGGCTGCAGAGGACAGAAAAGGGGACGAGTGTTATCTGGATTGGTCACGGAAGGGCCTGAGCTGAGCTTCGGAGACAAGGAGGTTAAGGTTCGCAGAAGCAAGGTGAAGGAACAGCATCCCAGAATGAGGGTTGGGATGGTGTTTGGGGGGTGGGGGGCAGTTAGGAAGCTGGGATGAAAAGAATTTGTGTGGGTAAATGATGGAAGACTTGGTGAGAAAGGCAGGATACAGCCAGACTACGAATTGCTATGGAATTGAATTCGAGAGTTAGGATTTTATAATTTAGGAAAAGGAACGATGAGTCTGTTTATGGTGAATAGTTGAGAGGCGGCATTTGGAATAGAATGGAAAGAAAGCTGAAAGTAAGAAGACCGATTAGGAGGCAGTTGTCTTAGTTTAGAAATGGCGTAAGTCCCTGAGTTGGGATGGTGGAACCGAGAATTTAGTGAAGGAACAATTTTATATCTCAGAGGAAGGGGAGAGTGGACAGAAAGGGCTAAAGAGGTATACTGACCTTGCAAAGATGGTTTGCAAAGACAACGTGGGAGTAGTTGGGAAAATAACACAATTGTGGGAGGTTGAGCTAGGTTACAGGGAGGAAGATGATGAGTTTGGTTTCAGACAAGTTAAATCAGAGATCATGACTGTACCTCATGGCAGGGTGATGAAAATGTGTGGAATCACAGACTGGAATTCAGGGGAGGAGCCCCAAGGCATATCCAAGAATGTGTTCGATTCATTGGGGAAAAAATTAGAGCGAAGCCAGCAGAGGAGCGGAGGCTTAACCACGGTGGGAAGAGCTACCATTTAGTAAAGATGATAATGTTTAGATAAGATTTAAGATGGTTCAAATTATAGGTACTTGACATGAATGCAAATGTTTGCAGGGCTTTTAGGGTTAGGAGAGCGGGGTAGCACAGCGATGTTATGTATTTGGAACAGATTCAAGTCCTCTGGTGAGGCATTATCCATATTCAGGAATGTTAGATATTTTAAGATGAGAGAAAGGTAGGTTAGATTAGATAACCTATTTTTGAGATTGAAATAGCATTTAATTGTGTTTTCATTGATTTCTTATTTCTTCCTTCTAGAGTTAACTTATCTTTTGTTATATTTCAGACTCTTGAATTACCTTCATTAGAAATTTTGGGGAAACACTGTCTGCTCTTATTACTCCATGGATAAATAGTCCCAGAGATAGAATCGGGGATGGACACTTAAGAAAGCAGTTTGGGGAGAAAATGCCCCTCATTACAAAGAAGTAATGGAGAGAATGAGGAGTTCTCAGTTAAGTTCTCACAAACGTGGGGTAGGAATCTTGGCACTAGATTTTCTGCCGAAAGTAGCGTTAGGGTGCCTTTTCCTCCGTAAATTAAAGATGACATCCTCTCCTCTCTCTAACAGTGGGTATAATATGATCTCGAGGAACACAAAACAAACCAGTTACACTGCATGGCAATTAGTGAATTGCGCAGACTGTAAAATTAGCTGTAATAGCATGTACTGTTGCATTTTAAAATAAAAAAGTATAACTTGGAACATGCAATGGATTAGGAAAGAACCTTGATTATTAACAAGGATATACTTCAGGGCAGGTTAAAAGTAAGTATGCGAAGCCATTTATGAGAAAAGTGTCATTGAATGCACCAATGTATATATGAACCAAAGAACATCTGAACCCTTCCTTCCAATTCCTTTCCCCAGTTTATTTGGTTGGAATGTAAGTATCCCATTAATGAGCTACTGACGTTCTTAGTATCTCTAGGGCCCCTTCTTGACAGAAGTATAAAATTTGCCATAAAATTTTCAGTAACGCAGCTTCCTTGAAGCTCATCCTTAAGGTGAGGTCTGCCTCCTCCGGAATCAGAATGGTAGCTTTCACATTCCAGACAGCAGCACAGAATAAAGAATCAAAGAGAAGGGTGAAGGTGTGTGCCAGCTGCCTTCCCAGGAAAGGTACCAGAAGTTGCCTTATGACACTTCTGTATATATCCCAGTAGCAAGAACTTAGTATCCCTTCTGGGCGAACATAGCCCAACAAAATAACCTATTACATGGACCAAGGGAGGAATAAATATTGGGAGAGTGTTTACAACCACACCTTCCTTTTCCATTTCAATGGCACCATGGTATCAGCAGAGAGAGTTTTAAAACTGCCTAAGGCGGTACCTGAAGCAGAGGGGTAGATGCAGAGCAGGGTAGCAGTGAAGAGCCTCGGCTCTGGAGTCACACTGCCTAGGTTTGAATCTAGGTTGTTCTCAAATCTGAAGAAATAGCATGGGTACCTTCCTCTTTGAGTTGCTGTGATAATTAAATGAATATAAAACATTGAGCATGGCATCTAACACTTCCAAACCATTTGATAATTTTTGCTCCGATTATTAAAAAGTGAGAAGTTTTTGAGCATCCAAATGCATAGAAATTTTCTGTACATTCCTACAAGCTGGGGACAGATTTACTTTCTTCTCCAGATATAATTCGAAGTGGTTTACATTTTATTTTTGGAAGTAACCTAGCATGTGCATGCTTGTTTGGAGGGTGAGTGTGGTTCCTAACAAATCGTCTGAGTGGTTTTCTTGAATTTTCAATGGGCTCTGCATGTTTCATTGACACCACCCTATAGGCTCTTACTTCTTGTATCAGTTTTGGTGTGAAGCATATTTTACGTTAAGAATTTACAGGATCCCCCTCTCCACTGATGTGACAAGTGGGAATTGTGCACCACATCAAGAGGAGAAGGCCGTCCTTGGATAGAGTGGGTATATGCTGTGTTCACCTATAAAGGGATAGATCGCTCTGAATTGCAGAACTAATGTCAGTCAAAATGTAATAATCTGGCTTGTTCTTCATTTAGAAATGGTGATAGGAGACAAGTGGGTGAAAGCAAAGCTTGATATTTCAACTTTGATATGACAATTTTCTTAAGGTTATAGACAATGAAATAGCTGTGTCGAAATATGTTTTGCCAACACCTAAATGGTCTTTGCTTCTCTCTTTTTCTTTCCTTCTCTAAGCCCCTTCTTTGTTCTGTGGGTTTTCTTTTGTAACTCCTCCAGACTACAGCTTTGTTCCCCCTTCTTCCACTCCTTTCTGGTCAGGTACTGCTTTACTGCTTTTATATGTCTTTTCAACTTGCTTTTGTTTGCAAATAAAATATCTTGACTTCTGTGTATGGCTTCTCATGTAGATACATCTCCTCACAAACAGCCCCTCGAGTCACATTCCCACCATGCACTTTCCTTTTCTGTCATCAAGTCATCGTTTGTCTTGACATACCACTCCTCTGGTTTTGTGTGTGTGCTCATGTTATGTATTTCAGCAAGACATTTTCTCTTTCGTCAGCTGGAAAGAGTTGAGAGCCGAAAGTATAAAGGGGGAACGAAGCACTCCATAAAACTAGTTTTCCTGAGGATCAGAAATTTTAGTTGAGAAAAGCCAGTATTCATGTATTTCCATTAAGAAAATAAATAGGACCAAAATCCCAACTTTATCTCCAAATATAAGAGTACAGTTTGGTCCAAATTGCTTTAAAGGATGACTGTGCCCGTCGGTTTGTGCAGGGCATTCTGGTCTTGATTTCTGTCATTAGCCAGAGAATGTAAGGGCTGTTTATGTGACACATAGGGGAGTACATGATGGCTGGATAAAGTATGTTTTCTTACAGATTTTTAAAAATTAACCTGTAAGTCCCAATGGAATAATAAAATTTAGTACCAGAAGGCCCTTACAAATCATCTAGTATAGACCTTTCATTTTATAGGTGAAGAGAATGTGGCCCAGAAGGGTTAAGAGACCTGTACAAGGTCACACAGTTGAGGATGGGTTTTTCCATCACTGGGATGTTTTTATGTGCACGACTCTAAGAGTAGTGCCCCAGTAATGGGATGGTTTTCAGTAAGAAAACTATTAAAGTGGTTTGTGTCTGAACAGTAAAATAAAATGACCTATTTTTGCTCCCTTTACAGTTCTGAAATCTACAGCATTGTTATTCGTTTATCTTATGATGGACACCTGGAGACTAAAAAAATTTCTGTCATTGCAGAGCCCTGAAAAATAGGCCAGAGATCCTGGTCTCCAAGTGGGCAGGCTCTTCCAGGGTAACAGGTCATAACTGCAGCTGCCTAGGCACTGGGAACTGTTAAAAATATGGATGTGTGGCATTTCCCATGTTTTTTTTTTCTTATACTTCAGTTTCTCTACCGTTTAAGGTTTATAAAGTCCTACCAATCTCAGGTGAGTGATTCTCAGAATCACTGAACATATCATTGAAAACACTTTATAACCCCAAGGAGCAACAGGTAGAGATGTTAATATAAAATGTGCCATGAAACACTAGAGGCAAACAAATGTACGGCTTGAACGGAATTTTCCTTTTAGGACAGGCAGGTGAGGGCAGAGAGGAAGTTAGCTCCTCTCCTACCATTAAAAAAAAAAAAAAAAAAAAAAAAAACTGAATATAGGAGGCAGATGCCCTGAATCTTCTTTTTGATTAAGTATTTCAGTAAAGGTTTTCTATAAGGCAGTATTTGTTTGAAACAAGATAAATGGATGGTGTTTATCTGTTTTTTCTGTGAAACATGATTTAAGCTTCTTTACGAGTACAATTATATATAAAAGAGTAACTGTCCCTAAATAGTTTTAACTGAAAACAAAGGCTGTTCGTGGGGAGGGAGGAGGATAGAAGTGATGACATGGATTCAACAAGAGACTTTCAGAGCAAAAAAGTTGGTTGCTTTGGGTCTTAAGTTGAAAAGTTTACAAAATAAAATTGTGAAGCTTTTACCATAGAGGTTCGAGTTAAAAAGGATTACTATGCCATCAATAGGAAATTTATGCTAGTTATTTGAGATCCTATCTCCTTAGGTAGTAACTTAGATATTAGCCTTTTTTTTTTTTTTAACTACAAAAACTAGTCCCTGTTTTGAAGTTCCTATGAAGAATGTGAAAACAGAACAACAGTTTTTTAAACTCTGTGAAATGAACTTGACTACACCTGACTGAATTGAAACAGCAGTTCTGCTGCTTTCAAGCCCCTCTGCCATCATCACTAGTCTGTGACAAAATCACGGCCGCGCATTTTGACAGCATCTATAACATCCATCTGATTAGGTGCTTATGGTTGGTAAACCGCACATCAATTCTGACGCCCCATCATTTCTTTACAGTGTTAAGTCCAAAGGTGCTGGGCATCGCCATCGCTCGGTATGACTTCTGTGCAAGAGATATGCGAGAATTGTCCTTGTTGAAAGGAGATGTGGTGAAGATTTACACGAAGATGAGTGCGAATGGCTGGTGGAGAGGAGAAGTAAATGGCAGGGTGAGCTGTCCCTCTCAATGTGCTCGTCACATGAATGAAGGGGGCTGGGCAGCCGCTGGCGCCCATTGTGGTGGGGGGAACCCTACACCGTGTGGCTGGCTTCACCCCCCAGAGCCCTGGCTCCGCACGGTGGTGTTCCTTCCTGAAAATAGGCACTCAAGAAAAACGTGTTGAGTGAATATGATAGTGGCATCAATAAAGTTTACTTGGGCAAGTTTGATGGCTTCCTGTTGGGAAAAGGGTTGAGCATATCAGTTCTTTTGAGCCTCTAGGCCTCTTTTTAAGTCTAGAGCATAAACTTTATGTGGAGTACGAAACATCTATAAGAGCTGATGATCTAAATTGGAAAGAGT